TGGAGGAGATTCTATGTTCAGGTGACGGGTCTGAGTCACGTGGAGGAGATTCTATGTTCAGGAGACGGGTCTGAGAGGAGATTCTATGTTCAGGTGACGGGTCTGAGTCACGTGGAGGAGATTCTATGTTCAGGTGACGGGTCCGAGACATGTGGAGGAGATTCTATGTCAGGTGACGGGTTGATCACGTGGAGGAGATTCTATGTTCAGGTGACGGGTCTGAGTCACATGTGGAGGAGATTCTATGTTCAGGTGACGGGTCTGATTCACGTGGAGGAGATTCTATGTTCAGGTGACGGGTCTGATTCACTGTGGAGGAGATTCTATGTTCAGGTGACGGGTCTGAGGTGGAGAGATTCTATGTTCAGGTGACGGGTCTGAGACATGGAGGAGATTCTATGGGTGAGGAGATTGGAGGAGATTCTATGTTCAGGTGACGGGTCTGATTCATGTGGAGGAGAGATTCTATGTTCAGGTGACGGGTCTGATTCACGTGGAGGAGATTCTATGTTCAGGTGACGGGTCTGAGACATATGGAGGAGATTCTATGTTCAGGTGACGGGTCTGATTGGAGGAGATTCTATGTGAGGAGGAGATTCTATTCTTGTTCAGGTGACGGGTCTGATTCACATGTGGAGGAGATTCTATGTTCAGGTGACGGGTCTGAGACATGTGGAGGAGATTCTATGTTCAGGTGACGGGTCTGAGACATGTGGAGGAGATTCTATGTTCAGGTGACGGGTCTGAGACATGTGGAGGAGATTCTATGTTCAGGTGACGGGTCTGAGGTCACGTCCCTGAGGAGATTCTATGTTCAGGTGACGGGTCTGACGGAGGAGATTCTCACGGGTCTGAGACGGAGGAGATTCTATGTTCAGGTGACGGGTCTGATTCACGTGGAGGAGATTCTATGTTCAGGTGACGGGTCTGATTCATGTGGAGGAGATTCTATGTTCAGGTGACGGGTCTGAGACATGTGGAGGAGATTCTATGTTCAGGTGACGGGTCTGATTCATGTGGAGGAGATTCTATGTTCAGGTGACGGGTCTGAGTCATGTGGAGGAGATTCTATGTTCAGGTGACGGGTCTGATTCACATGTGGAGGAGATTCTATGTTCAGGTGACGGGTCTGAGTCACGTGGAGGAGATTCTATGTTCAGATGACACGGGTCTGATTCATGTGGAGGAGATTCTATGTTCAGGTGACGGGTCTGATTCACGTGGAGGAGATTCTATGTTCAGGTGACGGGTCTGATTCACGTGGAGGAGATTCTATGTTCAGGTGACGGGTCTGATTCACGTGGAGGAGATTCTATGTTCAGGTGACGGGTCTGAGACATGTGGAGGAGATTCTATGTTCAGGTGACGGGTCTGATTCATGTGGAGGAGATTCTATGTTCAGGTGACGGGTTTGATTCACGTGGAGGAGATTCTATGTTCAGGGTGACATGTGGGTCTATGTTCAGGTGACGGGTCTGAGACATGTGGAGGAGATTCTATGTTCAGGTGACGGGTTTCTGATTCACGTGGAGGAGATTCTATGTTCAGGTGACGGGTCTGAGACATGTGGAGGAGATTCTATGTTCAGGTGACGGGTCCGATTCACGTGGAGGAGATTCTATGTTCAGGTGACGGTCTGATTCACGTGGAGGAGATTCTATGTTCAGGTGAGGGACACTGATTCTGATTCACGTGGAGGAGATTCTATGTTCAGGTGACGGGTCTGATTCATGTGGAGGAGATTCTATGTTCAGGTGACGGGTCTGAGACATGTGGAGGAGATTCTATGTTCAGGTGACGGGTCTGAGACATGTGGAGGAGATTCTATGTTCAGGTGACGGGTCTGATTCACGTGGAGGAGATTCTATGTTCAGGTGACGGGTCTGAGACATGTGTGGAGGAGATTCTATGTTCAGGTGACGGGTCTGATTCATGTGGAGGAGATTCTATGTTCAGTGACGGGTCTGAGTCGTGGAGGAGATCTATGTTCAGTGGGTCTGAGGTGGAGGAGATTCTATGTTGACAGGTGACGGGTCTGAGGTGACATGTGGAGGAGATTCTATGTTCAGATGACAGGTCTGAGTCATGTGGAGGAGATTCTATGTTCAGGTGACGGGTCCGATTCACGTGGAGGAGATTCTATGTTCAGGTGACGGGTCTGATTCACGTGGAGGAGATTCTATGTTCAGGTGACGGGTCTGATTCACGTGGAGGAGATTCTATGTTCAGGTGACGGGTCTGATTCACGTGGAGGAGATTCTATGTTCAGGTGACGGTCTGAGTTCATGAGGAGATTCTATGTTCAGGTGACGGGTCTGATTCACGTGGAGGAGATTCTATGTTCAGGTGACGGGTCTGAGACATGTGGAGGAGATTCTATGTTCAGGTGACAGGTCTGAGTCATGTGGAGGAGATTCTATGTTCAGGTGACGGGTCTGATTCATGTGGAGGAGATTCTATGTTCAGGTGACGGGTCTGATTCATGTGGAGGAGATTCTATGTTCAGGTGACGGGTCCGATTCACGTGGAGGAGATTCTATGTTCAGGTGACGGGTCTGATTCACGTGGAGGAGATTCTATGTTCAGGTGACGGGTTCTGATTCATGTGGAGGAGATTCTATGTTCAGGTGACGACGGGTCCGATTCACATGGAGGAGATTCTATGTTCAGGTGACGGGTCTGATTCACGTGGAGGAGATTCTATGTTCAGGTGACGGGTCTGATTTACATGTGGAGGAGATTCTATGTTCAGGTGACGGGTCTGATTCACGTGGAGGAGATTCTATGTTCAGGTGACGGGTCTGATTCACGTGGAGGAGATTCTATGTTCAGGTGACGGGTCTGATTCATGTGGAGGAGATTCTATGTTCAGGTGACGGGTCTGATTCACGTGGAGGAGATTCTATGTTCAGGTGACGGGTCCGATTCACGTGGAGGAGATTCTATGTTCAGGTGACGGGTCCGATTCACGTGGAGGAGATTCTATGTTCAGGTGACGGGTCCGATTCACATGGAGGAGATTCTATGTTCAGGTGACGGGTCCGTCATGGAAGATTCATGTGGAGGAGGGTCTAATTCTATTCTATGTTCAGGTGACGGGTCTAATTCATGTGGAGGAGATTCTATGTTCAGGTGACGGGTCTGATTCACGTGGAGGAGATTCTATGTTCAGGTGACGGGTCTGAGACATGTGGAGGAGATTCTATGTTCAGGTGACGGGTCCGATTTACGTGGAGGAGATTCAGAAGTCTAAACTAATAAATATTCCAACAGTCCTCCTGGAAGAATGAGATTCGCTTCTAGTGGCCGGTGAACCGTGGATCTCAGGTGAAGTGGTCTTCAGACTTTCTGCGAGTGGGACGTGAGGTGAAGGAAGAAGGGCAGAACTTTCCGAAGGGAACTTTTCTCTGCACTTGACTGACTCAGATTCCGTTCACTTTATTGAACCAGACAGTGCAAGTGGTATAAAAAGTCATATTCAGCTGACTGGACTCAACAGTACAGAACCAAAGCTGAATGAATGAAAGACCGCGGCACACGGATGACGTCACTATAGTACAGCCTTTCTCTACAGAGCAAATGCAATCCACATAACAGCAATCCTCACCTTAGGACCACCCCTTTTATTGCGTTTCAACCAATGGGGCTTAGTTTTAGAGATTTCTCTATGATCTCCGAAAACCAGGTACCGGGGAACGCTCCTGAAGGAATGAAAGTACATCTACACGATGACGTCACTAACCAGAGCGAACACAATACACAATAGCATACAATGGGTTCACACTTTAGGAACGCTCCTGAAGAGAATGATTTCTGAAGTACACTCGGAATGAAAGAACACCGATGACGTCACTATAGTCCAAGTTTTTGCCGTAGAGCAAATGCAATCTACACAATAGCATACAATGGCAGTTCACACCTTAGGATCACCCCTTTTAATGCATTTCACCCAATGGGGCTTAAGAAACCCTCCCTGGACCCCTCCGACCTGAACAACCTCAGACCCATCTCCCTACTGCCATTTACCTCTAAACTCCTAGAACGCTTAGTCTACAATCGCCTGAGCTCCCACCTCACTGACAACAACCTTCTCGACCCCCTGCAGTCTGGCTTCGGCCCCCTACACTCCACCGAAACCGTCCTACTAAAACTTACCAATGACCTGCTAACCGCCAAAACCAATGGCAACTATACTATACTCCTACTACTTGACCTCTCTGCGGCTTTTGACACGGTTGACCATCCCATCCTCCTCAAAAAAACTCCACTCTCTTGGCCTCAGAGACTCTCTCCTGGTTCTCCTCCTATCTATCGCAGCGCTCCTTCAGCGTTACCTATAATGCTGCCTTCTCCTCTTCACTCTCTCTTTTCTGTCGGGGTCCCTCAAGGCTCTGACCCCTCCTCTTCTCCATCTACACCTCCTCCCTTGGCCAATTTATAAACTCCCACAGTTTCAACTACCATCTCAATGCTGATGACACACAGATCTATCTCTCCACCCTTCGCCTCACCCCTTCAGTCTCCTCCTCACCTCACCCCTTCAGTCTCCTCCTCACCCTCCTCACCCCCCTTCAGTCTCCTCCTCACCTCACCCCTTCAGTCTCCTCCTCACCTCACCCATTCAGTCTCCTCCTCACCTCACCCCTTCAGTCTCCTCCTCACCTCACCCATTCATTCTCCTCCTCACCTCACCCATCACCCTCAGTCTCCAATTGCATCACCAGCCTACTAAGTGACATATCGGCATGGATGTCACTCCACTTCCTCAAACTCAATCTCTCCAAAACTGAGCTCCTAGTATTCCCCCCAGCCCGTGCCCCTCCCCCGGACTTCTCCATCAAGATCAATAACACAATCATCAGTGCCTCCCCTCATGCCAGGATACCAAATCCAATCACTGACAAAATCATGCAGACTTCACCTCCGCAACATCTCCAAGATACGGCCGTTCCTAACCCCGGAAACCACTAAACAACTCATCCACTCTCTTATTATATCACGCCTCGACTACTGTAACTCCCTCCTCACTGGCCGACCTCATCGCAGGCTATCCCTGCTTCAGTCTATCATGAATGCTGCTGCCAGACTCATCCACCTTACCAACCGCTCTGTATCTGCCACCCCTCTCTGCCAATCCCTCCACTGGCCTCCAGTCAGTGTCCTCCACCCCCCTCTGCCAATCCCTCCACTGGCTTCCACTCAGTGTCCTCCACCCCTCTCTGCCGATCCCTCCACTGGCTTCCATTCAGTGTCCACCATCCTTCTATGCCAATGCCTACATTGCCCTCCACTCAGTGTCCTCCACCCCTCTCTGCCAATCCCTCCACTGGCCTCCATTCAGTGTCCTCCACCCCTCTCTGCCAATCCCTCCACTGGCCTCCACTCAGAGTCCTCCACCCCCTTCTGCCAATCCCTCCACTGGCTTCCACTCAGTGTCCTCCACCCCTCTCTGCCAATCCCTCCACTGGCCTCCATTCAGTGTCCACCATCCTTCTATGCCAATGCCTACATTGCCCTCCACTCAGTGTCCTCCACCCCTCTCTGCCAATCCCTCCACTGGCCTCCATTCAGTGTCCTCCACCCCTCTCTGCCAATCTCTCCACTGGCCTCCATTCAGTGTCCTCCACCACTCTCTGCCAATCCCTCCACTGGCCTCCACTCAGTGTCCTCCACCCCTCTCTGCCAAAACCCCTCCACTGGCCTCCACTCAGTGTGCTCCACCCCTCTCTGTCAAAACCCCTCCACTGGCCTCCACTCAGTGTGCTCCACCCCTCTCTTCCAATCCCTCCACTGGCTTCTCATTGCCCAACGGATAAAATTCAAAACACTAACACTGACGTATAAAGCCATTCATAACACTGCCCCAAATTACATCACCGATCTTGTCTCTAAATACCACCCAAACCGTACTCTCAGCTCCTCACTGGACCTCCTACTCTCTAGCTCCCTTGTCTCCTCCTCCCATGCTCATCTCCAGTATTTCTCAAGGACTTCACCCATCCTCTGGAACTCCCTACCCCAAGCTATCAGACTATCGCCTACTCTGCTCACCTTTAGGCGCACTCTGAAAACCCATCTCTTCAAGAAAGCCTACCCCGACCCCAGCTAATACTGGAATCCACTACTCCTCATACCACTCCATCCCCCACAGCCATTTCTTCCTGTACCATTACCCCCTCCCTCCTAGATTGTAAGCTCCCAGGATCAGGCCCTCTAATCTCTCTTGTATTGAACTGTATTGTTGCTGGATTGTCTCCCTCCATAATGTACAGCGCTGAGCACACTGTTGGCGCCATATAAGTTCTGTATAATAATAATAATAGTTTTAGAGATTTCTATGATCTCTGAACACCAGGTGCTGGAGAACGCTCTTGAGGGAATGAAAGACCACCGCACACAGATGACGTCACTATAGTCCAGGCTTTCTCTACAGAGCAAATGCAATCCTCATAACAGCAGTCCTCCTAACCTTAGGACCACCCCTTTTATTGTGTTTCACCCAATGGGGCTTAGTTTTAGAGATTTCTATGATCTCCGAACACCAAGTACTGGGGAACGCTCCTGAGGGAATGAAAGACTACCGCACACAGATGACGTCACTATAGTCCAGGCTTTCTCTACAGAGCAAATGCAATCCTCATAACAGCAGTCCTCACCTTAGGACCACCCCTTTTATTGTGTTTCACCCAATGGGGCTTAGTTTTAGAGATTTCTATGATCTCCGAACACCAAGTACTGGGGAACGCTCCTGAGGGAATGAAAGACCACCGCACACCGATGATGTCACTATAGTCAGAATTTATTCTGTAGAGAGAACACAATCCACACAATAGCATACGATGGCAGTTCCCACTTTAGGACCACCCATTTTAATGCATTTCACCCAATGGGGCGTAGTTGTAGAGATTTCTAAAATTTCTGAACGTCAGGTGTTGAGGAACGCTCCCAATTCACTACAGGAATGAAAGAACAACGCACACCGATGACATCACTATAGTCCAAGTTTATGCCGTAGAGCAAATGCAATCCACACAACAGCATACAATGGCAGTTCCCACTTTAGGACCGCCCCTTTTAATGCATTTCACCCAATGGAGTTATAGAGATTTCTATGATTTCTGAACACCAAATCATAGAATATATATATATACTGCATGTTGAAATGTGTTTTTTATATATTTACAAAATACATGAAAGATATTTTTAAAAATACATTTAATCTACATTTTTGGAATGCATTTATAAATATATGTAACACTATATGTTTAAATTACTTTTTTATATGTTTAAAGAAATCTGAAGAATATTTATATACATACATTGAAAAACACTGAATACGGCCAAAATTGTAGCAGTTCAAATATATGTCAATATATTTGGGAAGAATATTTTAAAAACATAAATACTTAAAATATATTTTCCTTCCATGTGGGTTCCCAGGTGACAACGCTGATTGGACCATCACATGGAGTGAGTCACGTTCTGGCAAGTCCGGTAGCTCACACAAGGCTTCCCTTTGCTCACAGCGGCTGCATGGAGTGGTGGGGAAAGAGGAAATGAACAGAAGGTAACTAAATGCTGCTGCAGAGGGCAAAGTCCAAGCCAAGCTGTTGCTGCCGGCAGAGCACAGGTTCTCTTCAACCACTTGCTGCCCAATCACAGTGGATCTGTAAGACTGGTGGCTGCTCGGCCCCCTATTCCCCCCCAGCCACCGTTCTTGGCACATCCCTTCTGTAGTTCTTCCTCCAGGAAGCAGTGATGTCATTCAGTCCCCCTTGCAGTGGTGGGCGGAGTGAGACTCTCAGTGTACCTGCCCACCAAGGGTGTATTTACCACAAGGAAAATGCCTAAGGCGTCATTTTTCATGTCTTTAAAAATACAAATGTACCTTTTTGGAATGCATTTACAAATATGTGTAAAAATATATGTTAAAATTACTTTTTTATATGTTGAAAAAAAAAATCTGAAGAATATATTTTAATATTCTTCAGTTTTTTTTTTCAACATATAAAAAAAGTAATTTTAAAATATACTTTTTACACATATTTGTAAATGCATTCCAAAAAGGTACATTTGTATTTTTAAAAGACATACAGTATATCTGAAATATATTTTTTAAACATATTTTTCATATATTTTGTAATAAAAACACATTCCAACATACAGTGTATATATATATATATATGTATATATATATATATATATATATATATATATATATATATAAAATATATTTGGAAATATATTTAATATGACCAAAATTGTAGCATTTCAAATATATGTCAATATATTTCAGAAGAATATTTTTAAAATATATTCTTCAGATTTTTTTTTAACATATAAAGAAATTATTTACACATATATTGGAAAATGCGCTTCAAAAATGTAGATTTGTATTTTTAAAGACATGCAGTATATTTGAAAATCTATTTTTAAAAATAATTTTCATATATTTTGTAATAAAAACAAATTCCAACATACAGTATATATATATATATTTTTTTATTTATTGAAATATATTTTGCAATATATTGAATATGACCAAAATTGTAGCATATCAAATATATGTCATTATATTTGGGAAGAATATTTTTAAAATATATTTAAAATATATTTTTTCTTCCATGTGTGCCACACAAAGAGTGTTTTGGGATTTCTTCCCTTCTTTCTGATCCGGGCCTCATTCTCGGGGGGGAGTCGATGAGAGAATAGTACCCTCTGGAAGGTGTCAGTCGGGGATTCCATGACACCCTCGCTCTGCCTGGCCTCCCCGATCTGCTCAGCTTTCATAGTCATCACTTTGTGATCCTGAATCTGCCCTTGAGGGGTGACACATGGAGAGAGGAGCGAGGACGTTGCTCGGGTTCACAGAAATGTCATTCTTCCAGGGTGAGCGTGAGGCTGAAATAATGTCACCGGCTAATCAAAGGAGGTGAATTAATAGATGATTCATTCAAAGGATCCGAAATGTCACTTCGCTGTCAATCTTCGCCTTTTCATCCCTCCGACGCGTCCAAAGATAATATGGATTTATTTGACATAAAAGGAACAATAAAAGCGACTTTTGCAGACAATCGTTTTCTATCGCAATCGAAGATAAACGGTCATTGTTGTTTGGTTACCTTCACCTTCGAGGCGAGGCCCACGGGCTTCACAAATAGGAGTTCAGATGAGAAGACGGGATGTCAGGGAAATAATACTTCTAAATACGATGTTCAGATCCCGCCAAACCATTCCTTCCCCCTACAGGCGATAAATAATCACAAATCATATAAAAGAGGGGAGAGCCCATCGCGCTACCAACCTCGGCGTGACAAAAATAAACATGCTCCAAAAATACTGAAACAGAAAAAAAAAACAAAAATAAACATGCTCCAAAAATACTGATACACGAAAATAAATAAATAAACATGCTCCAAAAATACTGAAACAGAAAAAAAAAATAAACACAAATATAAGTCATATAAAAGAGGGGAAAGTCCATTGTGCTACCAACCTTGGTGTTTCAAAAATAAACATGCTCCAAAAATATTGAAACGGAAAAAATAAAATATATAGACATGCTCCAAATATATTGAAACAGAAAAAAAGATCAAATAAACACAAATATAAAATATTAAAAAGAGGGCAAAGCCCATCACACTGCCAACCTTGGTGTTTCAAAAATAAACATGCTCCAAAAATATTGAAACAGGAAATGAAATAAAAATGCTCCAAAAATACTGAAACAGGAAAAAAAAAAAAATAAACACAAAAATAAGTAATATAAAAGAGGGGAAAGTCCATCATACTACCAACCTTGATGTTTAAAAAATACACATGCTCCAAAAATATTGAAACCGGAAAAATTATTATAAATAAACATGCTCCAAAAATATTGAAACCGGAAAAATTATAAATATAAAAATAAACATGCTCCAAAAATATTGAAACCGGAAAAAAATATTGAAACAAAAATTATATAAATAAACATGCTCCAAAAATATTGAAACCGGAAAAAAAATTATAAATAAACATACTCCAAAAATATTGAAACAGAAGAAAAAAAAAACATACTCCAAAAAATATTGAAACGGAAAAAATAAAATAAATAAACACAAAATATATTGAAACAGAAAAAAAATAAAAAGAAATAAACATATAAAATATAAAAGAGGGGAGAGCCCATCACATTGCCAACCTTGGTGTTTCAAGAATAAATATGCTCCAAAAATATTGAAACAGAAAATAATATAAATAAAGATGCTCCAAAAATATTGAAACAGAAAATAAAATAAACACGCTCCAAAAATATTGAGGCGGAAAAAATCAAATATATAAAGATGCTCCAAAAATATTGAAACAGAAAAAAAGATAAAATAAAACACAAATATAAATCATATAAAAGAGGGCAAAGCCCATCACACTGCCAAACCTTGGTGTTTCAAAAATAAATATGCTCCAAAAATTTTGAA